CTACTTTCGTCTCTCCTTTCTCTTATTTTATCTCTCCTCTCTCCTCTCTGCTATCTACATTCTCCATACTCCTCTCTCGTCTCTACTCTCACTTTCTCTCCTCTCTACTTTCTCCATTCTCCCTTCTTCTTTTCTCCCTTTTACCTTATCTCTCGACAAATTTCCCAGATTGATTTTTCATGCCTAACCATTGTTTCCTGCCATCCTCGTATGAATTGCCGGCTTCTGTCTTATTACGTGTACACTCAGCCTGATCTCTAACTACCTTTAACTCATGTTCACTCGTTGTTAAGTCTACAGAACTGTTGGCTTTTCATTGCAATTATAGGCATACATTGCCAATGCTACGCAAACATAACCTCTGCCCCAGAAATGCGTGGCCAAATCAGCCCTAAAGACCCAGTCGAGCGGGTCAGTTTGAGCCAACTCGACTGGGCTGGACTCGATTTGTTCCGTTTACGCTTCACGTAATCTCACGAGCCATGGTACCTCTCACATTTGTGCACATGAGGCTACAGGCGAAAGTATATTTATTGAGTGCGTGCGTGTGTGTGTGTGCTCTGGGGCGTGTGCGTGTGTATGAGAATGTGTGTTTGTATACATTCGTCTCGTCCTGAACACTTGTTCACGCTTCATAGCATCGTGGAAGCCTTTTCACGTGAACCCCTCCAGTTGGGGGGCCAAACAACGAGTGTGGTTGGGCAATGAGTGGACCGAACGGCCAGTTGGCTGGGCCAGGAGCCGTCGGGCATGAAGGAGGCGTGAGTGAGTGTGTCTTAGAGGGAGGGGATGGGTGGGGCTTTTGTGATTCGGCCATGATACGATCAGAGTGGCGACAAAAGAGTCGATCTGACGAGCTGTAGCTGGTGTGAAGCTGCAGGTGTGGGTCAATTACCTCGTTGTGTCTGTCTAGGCTCGAATCCAGGCGACAGAAACTGAGATTCTGCTGTGTTGTGGGTTGTAGAGATGCGAAAGATTGTCTCCAAAGGCGTCAAATGGGTTTTCAACAAAGAGTGCTCTCTCACCTTGAACAGCCGGAAATGTGCCGAAAGCCAGAGACTGACAAGGGGCTATGAGTTCACTTGCAGTTCTAGCGAAA